CAGACACATATTAGTCGCAAATTTGTGGGTAATTTGTGGGAAATTTTACCAACTACCTAGTTTGGTCGCAAATATAGGTCATTTGTGACCATTTTGTGACGCACAAATGAACTATTTTCTTGTAGTGGATACTTGGTGAGGTTCTTGTAATGCCTCAAATCTTCTCATTAAAAGGACATGGAGAGGGATTAGTTGCGTGGCGTATCCTCATTTGGCGATTGACAGTGAATCAGGGATGTGCAAAGACGGAGTCATCTACTATGGGGCATGGAACATGAACCGCGAGCGAGCTTTTTTGTAGTGAGCTTCAATCTGAAAAGTGAAGTGTTTACTCCAATCTACTTATGGGGAGGTAATCAAAGAGATGCGCATTCAGATGATGATTTATAATGGTCATGTTCCTCAGGGATCCAATGGCGCATGAAGAATGGACAAGGAGGATGGGACTCTAACTATTTTATGAAGACTTTGTAATAACTAGTAATTGTGTCTGGAATTTCAGGTGCTCCTTACTTCGTGCAAAGTTTACACCGTTCTTCACTGAGACTTTTATACCAGAATCTGCGTAAAGCATGTGAGGAAAGCGGTAATAGTTCCATATTTCTATATCCAAGGATAGATAGAAATTGACTGAATGCTCATTTTATATTTTCTTCTCTTGTTTAAACAGAGAGCGGAGAGGATTGAGAAAAGTGTCAAAGAGATGAAGAAAATCATTAATCTTGCTCGTAATCGTAAGGGGGAACTTGTTAATCTTGAATGTATATCTTTGCTTTTTGGAGTTTGTTATTGAGGACTGCTTGAAATCAATATATCACTACAAATGTGTTGGATAAGAAACACAACAAAATTAAAACATAGCTACGAGCAAGAGAAAAGCTTAAGGCTCCATGCTAGGATTTGCACATCAACTAACTACTTTTTCCATTTACATACAATGAACCGGTTCTTCGGATTTAACTTGTTTGATTTTGCATTGCGATATATATGTCTTGGACGAACTTAATGTAAGATCTCTTGTCCCATGTAATGATACTCTGAAGTATGAGCTCAATGTGCTTTTAGCCTTTCCATAAGAATGTAGAATGAAGTTTTTCTTCTTCATTTCTTCAGTGTCTTGGGATAATATCTGATGAGAGTTTTCAATTGAAAGAATCTAAATTGTCATTTAAGATAAGTTTGGCTAGACCAGCTTTAAAATTCAATGAAGAAGCTGTTCTCGCTTTATACTCAGGTGAGTAATGATCTCATCACCGCTGATTCTCTCTTTAACGAGTGCATCATCTATGGTTTCAGGAGATATGAAATTTGCAACCGGGCTCCAAACATACTAGCTTGTTATCGAGGGATCATTCGAATTTAAAAGCAGAGTTCCAAGTGGGAGATGGGAAGGTTTGTTTCGCCACTAAAAATGCTGATCGTTAGTTAATCATTCGAATACTTGTTGGTACTTAATCCTTTTCTGTATCTTGTATTGCAGATAACTATAAGCTGCCTGCTGTGACTGTGGTTCTAGGAGAGCATTTGCATTTGACAGTCGGCGACTACCTACTCTCGAGCAAGAGCAACGCATGAGCCCTCTCTCAGCTTCGTTTGTATGATGATTGAAACTTGTAACTTGGGTCTCTATCATTCAAGACTAAATAAATTATAGAATCAAATAGGATTGATTGAGAATACTAATATTATTAACTTAGTTTGTATTTATTATGTAACTGTATGAAGTTTGGGTTAGTATAACTCAAAACTATTATTCTCTTAGATGATTGTAGATTTCTTATAAGAATACTAGCATTAATTCGGAGGCTTAATTTTTGGATTATTATTTGCTTACAAATCATGGAAACCAACTTACCTAAAGGAGCTTTGATTTGGAATTTTCGACGTATAATTTCCCATCATTTCCACAGTACAGAGTACAGACAGTAGCCCTATCCAATTTGGTTATATATTTGTACAGTTTGAATCTTTACATAGACAGAGAATCTGAGGATTTGTACGAAAGACTTCCTCTTGTGATGTGTGGTCTGTGTCGTTACATCTCTGACCTCCGTGCTACAATTTCAGAAGCTAGGACCTGGTAGCTTGAGCTCGAGATATAACCTAAGCATTGTTCTTCTTCTATGTATTTTACGAGGCTCTTAACGTCTGCTTCATGTATCTTAGAGCAGACCGCAACATGGATCTAGCTTTTCTATCTGGTTTGCAACCTGACATGATCATCTCCTCGTAAACACCGGGTACCTGTAAAACCATTAATCACAATCTTAAAAAGGTCAATGCTAACTTCAGGTATTCCCCTACCATCCAAAAGAAGATTCATACCTTCTGGAACTTATCAACACGAATGAGAGCTTTCATCAGTGTGGTGTACGTGACTACATCTGGCCTTACGCCCTGCAATTGTTGTGTGAGATTGACGGTCAGTTAGTTTTTGAACAAAATGGGTTCAGTGTTTTAATCAAGAGAAGTTATTACATTTTCTTTCATGTACTGCAACACAGCAAATGCTTCAGCGTCTCTTCTATCCTCTCCAAAGGCATTGATGAGGGAATTGAGAGCCAATAGACTTGGCTTTAGTCCATCTGATGTCATCACTCTAAATGCATTCACAGCTTGCTCCGATAAACCCTGGCACGGAAGAATTAGGAAACTGTCAGTATCAAATGATGATTCTCTTGAAAAATCTCTCATGGATACTATTAACAGTCGTAATGATACCCTTTGTGCATAGGCATTGATGAGGGCATTGTACATGGTTGATGATGGTTTCAGCCCAACTGACTTCATCTCCTCCAAGCATTCTATCGCATCATTAAACCGACCGGATTTTCCATAAACGTCAACGAGTGTTGTGTGTGTCACGACGTTAGGCAGTATTCCTTGGCTTTTCATTTTCCCCAACAATCTTTTCATATCATCCCATCTTTCTTGATCTCCATAACTATTGATCATGATGTTATAAGTTGTAGAGCAAGGCATGCACCCTCGCTTCTCCATCGCCTCAAACATCTCTTCTGCTACTATGTGCCGGCCATGCTTACAGTGGCAATCGATAAGCGTATTCCAAGTCACCCTATCTGGTTCTATCCCCTCGCTTAACATTCTATCAAAAGTGGTCATGGCATGATCAAGACAATTAAACTTCCCAAAGGTATCGATCACCACGTTGTAGAATTGTCTATCGGGTTTAACTCCCATGCTCTTCATCTCCTTGAGAACCTGAAATGTCTTTTGCCACTCACCTCTGTCGCGGTAACCTGCTAAGAGTCTGCCGAAAACAAAAGAGTTAGGCTGTACATCACCAGCTTCCATCTCTTTCAACACAATTCTTGCGCTTTCCCATCTACCTGCATTCACATATGCATCAATGAGGAGACTGTACGTATGTTCATCAGGAGAAACACCTCTCTTCTCCATCTCTGAAACCATCGACTCTGCATCCCTTAAAGGACCCGTCTTTACATAACCTTTAAGCACTGCATTGTAAGCTTTAGTTCTCGGTTTAATCCCGCTCTGTCTCAGCTCCTCAAACAAAGCTTCAGCCTCAACAGTCCTCCCTGAATCCGCCAATGCTGAAATGATGGAGACAAGAGTAGCAGTTTTAGCACTGAGACCCGTTGCTTGAGCCATCCCTAGAAGCTGCAAAGCACGAGACGGGTCACCAGATTTAGCAAAACCCATAATCAAATCATTCACTAGCTGCACATCAAGCTCAAGCTTGTCCCTTTCCACTTCTCTATACAATCTCTGTAAAAGAGCTGAATCAATAGTGTTGTTCCTCGTCAAAGACTGAATAACCAAGCTATAGTTAACAAAATCGGATTGGTAACCATCTTGACGCATCCTAGAGATTAAATGAAGAGCTTTCTCAATGTCATTGTTTCGAGCACAAGCACCAATCAATGCATTGTAAGTCAAAGGTGTTAAGGTATGTTTCTGAGAAAGAAGGAAAGCTTCGTAAAGCTTCTCGGAACGACCAAGAGCGTGGATGAGAATAGAGTAGAGAAGCTCGTATGAGAAGCAGAGGTTGTGTTTTTGAAGCCATGAGACGAGTGCGTAAGCTAAACCGAGAGATGACGACGATGAGCATAACGATTTTAGTAACGAGTGCCAGTACGGTGCTGGTACCGCCTTGTATGACTCTGTGAGGTGAAATTCCGCCGGGTCAAGAGATTCCGGCGAAGTAACAGAGTCCGATTCCTCTAAGACTAACTCGATGGGTCCGAATCTTGAGAGATATTGTAGAAGCGGAGAGAAGTCGTAACGACGGGAGGGTAAAGATTCATTGTCGTCTTCTTCCTCTTCCCTTGAATCCAAACTATTCCAGGAGGAGATTGAAGACGGA